AAGTGGTGTTAGTGAGGCCAGCAGGGGGCGCCCGACCTGCGGTCTGTGTGGGTCCTAATGCCCCAGTAAAGTGACGGGGACGCTATACTGCTCAGTGAGCGCCGTCTTTCGGATGAGACGTTAAACCGAGGTCCCGACTCTCTGTGTTCGTTAAAAATCCCAGGATGTCCTTCGAAAAGAGTAGGGGTTTAACCCCGGCTTCCAGGCCAAATCTGCCCACTGGCCTCTGTGAATCATGGCCTCCTAACCATCCCCATATTCCAATTGGCTTCATCGCTGTCTCCTCTCCACCAATCAGCTGGTGTGTGGTGTGCGGTCTGGCGCAAAATGGCTGCCGTCGCGTCATCCAGGTGGATGCTGCACACTGGTGGTGGATGAGGAGATTCCCCCCATTGTGTGTAAAGCGCTTTGAGTGCCCAGAAAAGTGCTATATAAATGTAAGGAATTATTATTATTATTATTATTATTCAAAGAGGTCTCTGTCTGCTTTTTTGGTCCCCTTTTGGTGCGCACTTGCTACATTCACACTTACCCAAATGAACCGCATCAAGAGGAAAAATGAACCCTTCAGCGAATCAACTGAACTAAATAAGACAGGTGTGAAAACACCTAAATGACATTTTAACATTTAGTATTTCATCTTAGGTTAGTTGATTTTATCCTGTCATTTCTAATGTTCACTTTTAAAGTTTTTTCTAAGATGAGTTTTTATATACTTATAACTCTCTCTGTACTCCAAACAACAAAACTATCATGACATTCAAGACACGTCAACATCCAGATAATTAAAACCGTATCAAAGCCAATTTCCTCAAATTACAAAAAAAACAAAACTACTTCTGATACTAAAATTAAAGAGTTGCTCCATTATCAAACTGAACTGAAGGAAGAAGCCAAATGCACTGATGTGGTGTGTGGCAGAAAAAAAAGGAACAACTATTGGTTCTCAAAACAAAAAGAGGAAGATAACAGACAGATCCGAGAGAAACGAGAAACAAAGAGCAAGAGATGGATGAGATTGAGGCCAGCAGAGACAGTGGTGGATGTTCAGAGCCTGGAGGTTTTAACCACAACATCCTCCACACACATTGGAAAGACTGGAGGGAGGGACGCCACCAAAATACAGGGAGGCTTTTTATGGTGCACGAAACACCCATATTATATCATTTCATCAGTGGGCTGTTTTTACCTCTGATCTGAAGAATCCGAAGGAAAAAAAGAGAGAAAAATAGCAGATGGGACGGAAAAGAGATGGGGGAGATAGTGAGGAATTCCCCCATGTTCTTGTTCTGTGGTCTAGTCCTAAAAAGATGCTCTTTACAGAAGGTGAAGGGTTTATTTACTCAATTTAAAGACTCATTTTTATTCTAGCTTTCAGGTGATGTATGCTTTATATTTTATACTTTAGTTTGTCATTTTATATGTATTCTTGGCGGCACGGTGACTCAGTGTTTAGAACAGCCGCCTCAAAGCAAGAAGGTTGCTGGTTCGAAGCCTAGCAGGGCCAGTAGGAATTTCTGTGTGGCAATACTGTATATGGTTTTGCAAAGGTGAAGCTATTTGTTTTAGCTTTAAGTTTAGTTTTTGTATGTTTGTGTATGGAGTTTGCATGTTCCCTTTGTGTTGGAGTGGGTTTCCTCTGGGTTCTCCGGTTTCAAGAACCGTTACAGTCAAAACACATGCGCTATAAGTGAATTGGATGGGAAAAAAAAAATAAAAAATGGTAGTGTATGAGTGTGTGTGTGTGTGTGTGTATGCGAGAGTGTACGAGTGTTTCCCAGTACTGGGCTGCCGCTGGAAGGGCATCCACTGTGTAAATCATATGCCAGAATAGTAGGTGATTCATTTCGCTGTGGCAAGCCCTGATAAATAAGGGACTAAGCCAAAGGAAAATGAATGAATGAATGAATGAGTGAGTGTTCATTACTTTTTATTTGATAAGTATTTTGGTATTGTAAAGCACTTTGGATCAAAAAGTTTGGCTTGGCCTGTCCTTTATTGAATATGGATAGAAGCCCCCTATATGCACCATAGTCGAGTTGTGCAGTTCCAACAATTATGAAAACAGTATGAACTGATTATGAAAATGGTTGCATATAATTTCTTTACAGTAAAGCCATGCGCAAGTCTTCCTATGTAACCTCAAAGTCAGTAAAATCGTTTAACACCACTGCAAACAAAAAACGTTGACGCAACTTAAAATTGTAAGGCAACTAGCAGCACAGCCTTTTTTGAATTGTCTTACATTTTAACCAACTTGACTCGATTTGATTCAGCTCAAAAAGCTCTGTAGCAAGTTGCCTTGCAATTTTAAGTTGAGTCAACGTTGTAAGGCAACTGTAATACTTAATTATATAGAGCCTATGTTCCTTGAGAGACTTCTACCATTTGAAAAGGAGAGAAATGCACATATTTTGTGCATTTTAATGGACAATTACACACACACAATGAATGCTAGAATGTCCTTCTTGGTGTGTTTTAAATTTAAACCCATTAATTATGTCTGAAATAAACATACACCATTGGAAATGTAGTCAAATGAATGTTGTCAGTGTACAGAATTTGGCCTTCAACTGACACTGTTAAAGACATGACATTTCATTTTCACTGCTATAGGGCTAGCACTTTGTGTTGAAACTAGCTGGATCTAGCACCTCTAAAATTTAATCAGGCACCTTATTTTGGTGGACCCAATCGTCCACCAATCAAAAATGTTCAATGCCCTGTAGTCTGCATAAATTAAATTCTTATCTCAATATTATTCCCTTTAAAGTAGGGGATCTACATTTATATATCTATTATTTATTTGATTTTCTTTTTAAAATATATGTGTTATAATAATCTGTATACTAATTAATAATAATAAATCTCATCCATGCCAGGTTTAGTTTTTTTTCCATGATATTTGTTTGTTTTGCCTGTTTTAGGGTTCATTTTAAACAGCTTAAAATAAAGGATTCTTATTGACTTTTTCAACTCATTTGTTTGCTGACAGTGAAACTGAACAGATAAACCTCTTTCTGGCATTTTATTAACGTACTATTAATCAGGGGCCCCTGCATAAAGTTTTGCATATGGATACTGAAAGTCTATAGGGTCAACTTTAGAAAAGGAGAACACCTTTAGGTAACCTTTAAAAGATCCCCCCACTAATATTATAAAAAAAGTTATATAATTCAAAACAGTCAAATGCAATTATATGAAACGTAATAGGTCGACGTCTCTAAATGATGTTGTATTAAAAAGCAGCATGTGTTTTTAACAAATCCATGCAAATGATCCAACCTAGAGACAAGCGCTTTTGTTCTGGTGCAGAGAAGGAAATTCAAATCAGATGGCCTGGATTGTGTTCACATTTGAGTTTCGTCTGAAAATGAGACGAGATGTCATCCATGTGAACCTGAGGACTAAATCACGCACACTGACGTATGATGTAAATACTAAAACAAAACATTGTTCAGACAAAACAAAAAAAACTACATAAAGAAGTCGAATTATAACTGAATGTGCAATATTAGAACATGTGCAATATTATATATATATAATATAATACAACTATTTTCAAACAAATCCAGATTTAATCTTAACTTTAAAAGTTCTCCAAAATATGAAATACGAGGAGCTTTAAACATACAATCTTCAACAACTTTCCACAATATAAACCCTACTCCATCCAGTAGCTGAAGGACTGAATGTGGTGATGTAATACATCTGAATGAGCGGCATCTCGCCTGTACCTCTGCCAGCCAAATGACTCAAACACATATAAATACACATGCTCATTAAATCTGAAGGCTTGAAGGGGGCAGTCGTGCCCACTCTGCAGGGTTACACCCACAAACTACAGCCCTGATCTGAGCAGAGATGTCTGTGGTGAAGGGCCATTATTTCAGCTGTTTTTCCTTCTTTTCAAAGCTAGCAACTCCACACAAGACAAGCACATTTTTTCTCTTCTTTTGTATAATGATGCGTGCCATTACTAACAAGAGCCCAATCCAGTGCAGGATTTCCCCTAGATAGCTTAATATAGACATACAGCAGCCTAGAAAACCAATACAGCTGTGATATGACTGGATTCAAACAAACACGACTGGAGCACATTCTCAACCACTTCACTTCTCACCCACAGTGTGTGTGTGTGTGTGTGTGTATACACTCACCCGCCACTTTATTAGGTTCACCTTACTAGTAACGTGTTGGACCCCGTTTGCCTTCTGAACTGCCTTAATCCTTCATGGTATAAATTCAACAAGGTACTAAAAAATATTCCTCAGATATTTTGCTCTATATTGACACGATAGCATCACGCAGTTGCTGCAGATTTGTCGGCTGCACATCCATGATGCGAATCTCTGTGTTTCACCACATCCCAAAGGTGCTCTATTGGATTGACTGTGGAGGTCATTTGAGTACAGTGAACTCATTGTCATGTTCAAGCTGCAAGTCTGAGATGATTCGCGCTTTATGACACGGCGCGTTATCCTGCTGGAAGTAGCCATCAGAGGTCATAATACTCAGGTAGGCTATGGTGTTGACACCAGTCTCAATTGGTACAAATGGACCTAAAGTGTGACAGGAAAATATCCCCCACACCATTACATGTCTACATGCCTAAATGCATTGAGTAGCTGCCATGTGATTGGCTGATTAGAAATTTGCGTTAATGAGCAGTTGGACTGGTGTACCAAATAAAGTGGGCGATGAGTGCATATACACATATAATATAACAGACACACAGAAACTGTAAATAAACACAGCGGCGGCCTAAATTATTAGAGCACTTGGAAAAAGACGATCTGATATTTTGTTCAGAGCAAGTTTCATAGACATTATCAAATAAAATCATCTAATTGGAGGCAACAAATGTCACCATTTTCAAATCTGTCAGGTGTTAATAATGCTCTTGGTCACCAATGATTATATTTACACAATCTTGGACAAAAGCCTCTGCAAAATGACTAAATGTAAATTTCTTGATGTGCGAAATAGGCATTATTTACCTGTCTGCATCTCCCTGGCTGGTGGAGGCATTGCGCTGAAGATTTTCTCGTACCATGGCCATTCCATCCGGCAATCTGTTCAGTCGACGCGTATACAGACTCAATCCCCCATCAGTCATATATCTGAGAAAACACACACAGAGAACGTCTCGGGTTACGTATGTAACCATAGTTCCCCGAGAGGGAACGAGACACTGCGTCTAACCAGAACGCTAGGGGAACACCTCTTTTATACGCGTCTTGAAGCACATGTGAAATCAATCTAATGTAATTAAGCAGGTGTCGTCAGACCAGAGAGTATAAAAGCCTGTACTGAGCATTCAGTATCAACTTCGAATTTGCTTGAAAGAAGTAACAGGCAGAAGAGAGTATGGCGGAATACGCAGTGTCTCGTTCCCTCTCGGGGAACTATGGTTACATACGTAACCCGAGACGTTCCCCTTCTAGGGAACTTCAACACTGCGTCTAACCAGAACGCTAGGGGAACGCAATACCCACTAGGCCAGACTCACTGCTGACTGTGAACGCACACTACGCAGTGAGAATAGAGGACCCTGGTGAGGGGTCTACATCGAGTTGATAGTGACGCACAAATGTATGTGGAGTCGACCATCCTGCCGCCAAACAAATGTCAGAAAGGGCTGAGCCCGAAATAGAAGCTTTGGAGGCCCCGACAGCCCTTGTGGAGTGGGCCTTAACAAATTTAGGTGCAGGGCGTCCAGCAGCCTGATAGGTAAATGAGATAGTCTCAACTATCCAATTACTTATTGTCTGCTTATTTGCCGGACTCCCCCTTTTTGAGGGTCCGAAGCAGACCAGTAACTGTTCACTCTTTCTCCAGTTGATAACCCGGTTAACATATGTATTCAGAGCTCTAACTGGGCAGAGTAAGTTTAACTTCTCTTGGTCCGACGACTGAAATGGGGGCGGGTTAAAGGCCTGTAGCACAGCAGGTCTCGCCACATGAGTGGGCACCTTAGGCACGTACCCCGGTCTGGGATAAAGAAAGGCTTTGGACATGCCTGGAGCAAACTCCAGTAATGAAGGTGCAACCGACAAAGCCTGGAGGTCACCAACCCTTTTTAAGGAAGAAATAGCTAATAAGAAAGCTGTTTTTAGTGTCAGAAACTTATCTGACGCCTCCTGCAGTGGCTCAAATGGGGGAACAGAGATGCCCTCGAGCACCAATGTTAAATCCCATGTCGGTACCCTGTGTGTGCTGACAGGCCTTAGCCTTATGGCTCCACGAAGGAAGCGACGAATTAGCGGATCCTGTCCTAGTGACTCATCATCTAGGGGAGAACGGTAGGCCGCTATAGCTGACACGTACACTCTCAGAGTGGATGCAGCTAACCCAGCAGACAGGCGATCTTGAAGAAATTCCAGCACTGAGGCTACCTGGCAGCTGACTGGGTTCAGCTGGTGTTCTCTGCACCAAGCTGAAAAGAGAGCCCATTTTAGGGCATAAAGCTTCCTTGTGGAGGGAGCCCTGGAGCTTAGAATGGTCTGAGCAACCTCGGTTGACAGTCCATACTCTATGAGGTGGGCCCCCTCAGAGGCCACACCCACAGTTTCCACAGGTCGGGTAGGGGATGAAGTATCATTCCTCCCGCCTGGGACAGAAGGTCCCTCCTGATGGGGATCTCCCACGGGAGATCCGCCAGCAGGGCTATGAGGTCCGAAAACCAAATCCTGGTAGGCCAAACCGGGGCTACCAGCAGTAACTGTACTCAGTCTTGACTGACCCTCTCCAGGACTCCTGGGAGCAGAGCGATCGGGGGAAAAGCATACAGACGTAGCCTCGGCTATGTCTGAACCATGGCAACCAGTCACAGAGGGGCTGGATGCGAGAGAGAAAACCATAGTACGCAATGCGTGGTCTCTTGGGAAGCAAACAGGTCTACCTGCGCTTTCCTTAATCTTTCCCAAATGGACTCCACCACCTCGGGGTGAAGAAGTTTCCATTCCCTGGATCTCACCCCCTGCCTCGACAGGAGATCTGCTCCCATGTTCAGATGGCCCGGGACATACATTGCCCTGATGGACAGGATTTTGTTCTGGGCCCACAGGAGGATCCGATGTGCTAGTTTGCATAGCATTCGAGACTTCAGACCCCCCTGCTGGTTGATGTAAGCGACCACCAATGTGTTGTTCGTGCAGACTAAAACATGATGGCCCCTTAGATCTGGGAGAAAGTGTTTTAAGGCCAGAAACACGGCCATCATCTCCAGGCAGTTTATGTGCCAGTAATGATGATGTTCTCCCCATCGTCCCACTGCGGGAAGCCCCCTCAGGGTTGCTCCCCAGCCCGTTATAGAAGCATCTGTCATAAGCATGACGCGATGACAGACAGCCCCCAACACTAGGCCCTGGGACAGGAACCAGGGCATTTTCCACATACTTAAGGCTCGAAGGCAGTGCCGCGAGACCTTGATCATGCGGATCAAGCCCGTTGCTCCCTAGCCCGTCAGAGAAGCATTTGTCATAGGCATGACGCGATGACAGACAGCCCCCAACACTGGGCCCTGGGACAGGAACCAGGGTATTTTCCACATACTTAAGGCTCGAAGGCAGCGCCGCGAGACCTTGATCATGCGGAAAGGATTCCCCTTGAGGGAAAACCCCCTGGATTTGAGCCACCACTGCAGGGGTCTCATGTACAGCAGACCGAACGGAATCACGCTGGCTGCTGCTGCCATGAGACCCAACAACCTCTGAAAGTGTTTCACAGTGATGAACTGGCCTAGTTTGACTCTGTGTACAGTTGACTGAATCGAAGCGATTCATGGCGGGGACAGACGTGCTCGCATCGTCATGGAGTCCCATAGCACACCTAAAGAAATGGTCGTCCTGGCTGGAACAAGCACACTTCTTGCGGTGTTTAACCGAAACCTCAACCTTCTGATATGGGTGAGAACGACATCTCGATGCCGAACTGCCATATCGTGAGTCTGAGCTAGAATTAGCCAATCGTCTATGTAGTTTAGGATACGTATCCCCTGCATACGAAGTGGAGCTAGTGCCGCTTCGACTATTTTGGTAAAGGTTCGAGGTGACAGAGCTAGGCCAAATGGAAGAACCCGATACTGGAACGCTTCGCCCCCGCAAGCGAACCTCAGGTATTTCCTGTGTTGGGGAAGGATGGAAATATGGAAGTATGCGTCTTTCAGGTCTATCGTCACAAACCAGTCCTCGGACTGAATTTGTGACACCACGTTTTTGATGGTTAACATCCTGAACCTGAGGGCCTCGACGGACCGATTTAGATTTCTCAGATCTAATATGGGACGCAATCCCCCATCCTTTTTGGGAACTATAAAATACCGGCTGTAAAAACCTGACTCTTTGTCGAGTGGGAGAACACGCTCTATTGCGCCTTTTATTAATAAGGCCAGTACTTCCTGTTCCATAACCAGAGCCTGTTCTGGCTTCACTATGGTGGGTGCAATACCGTTGAAGCGAGGTGGGCGTGCACAAAACTGTATTTTGTAGCCATGTTCTACTGTGAACAGGACCCACTGGGACACCATCGGCAGGTGTTTCCACGCTGCCAAAAAATGTGCTAGGGGTACCAGCCTCTCGAGACTGGCCTCTGGTTGTTCTTTGACCCCCCTGCAGAGGGGGTGGGGCCCCCAATGCCCTCAGACACTGAGGAACGCCCACCCCGGGAGACACAGAGCCCCCCACCAGCATACGTGGTGAGGTGGTCTCTCCCTTTCTCCGCGGACCCTGGTTCAGTGAGAGCGCTGAATGGTGCTCTCGGTGTCCAGGGGGGGCCCTGGAAAGCCTGACTCCCAACACGTCAGGACTTTGTTTTATCCTTTGTACTTTATGATATGAGGAGCTGGTTGACGGCTGGCCCTGACTTTTTGATCTTGGGGGGAGAAAGTCCCCGAGGGAGCTAGAGCGTTTTTTTTTTTTTTTTTAACTCTGTCGAGGGATTCGGCGACGCGATCAACGGCGTCACCGAAGAGCCCTGAGCTCGATATTGGAGCGTCCATAAGAATAGCTCTATCGGTTTCTGACACTTCTGCTTGTGTCAGCCAGAGGTGCCGCTCAGTAGCCACCAGGGTAGCCATAGATCGCCCCAAACTAGAGGCTGCCTCTTTAGTAGCTCTTAAAGCTAGATCTGACGCCCGAAGAGCTTCTCGAAGCTGTTCGGGTGTTGCTCCCCACCATCTAGGCACTCTTTAATTAGGTCAGCCTGATATGCCTGCAGCACTGACATGGTGTGCAGGCATCCAACAGACTGACCAGCCGTCATATATGCTTTACTGACTAGACCCGATGTTACTCTTAATGGTCTCGACAACAAAGGAGGGACCCTTGCAGATTTTAGATCTGAACGACGATGACACGCTAAGTCCTCTTCTATCATTGGCATTACTGTACATGCCTTTTCCCCTAGCCCACGAACTGCTGAATAAATAGCTGTTTTTGGTGTCATTAACCATGCTGAATACGGATTTTTCCATGATTTAGAAACCGCATCATGTAGTTCGGGACAAAAGGGGAGGTCCCTTAGTGGAGGATCTACTCTGCTGGGTAATTCTCTCTCATCCAGCATTCCTGTCAGACGCAGCTGCTGCTGCTCACGTGCTGGCTGCCAATCTATTACTTCGAACCTGTCAGCAGCACGTGAAATCACCTCCACTAACTCCTCATATTCCACTGACTGGGGCGGCAGATTCCCCGACCCTCTTTTTATTTGTTGCTGCGGCGCCTCGGTTTCCTCGGAAACGGAGGACGCCGCCCTCCCACGAGGCGCAGAAGAAACCGCAGAGCGTGCTTCTGACGCTCCCGAAGGAGGATTAGATCTCACGGATCCAGAGAGAGAAAGGACAGAGTCCGTCTCCATCTCATCCGCCAGATCTAGCTGCGAACCCCACGACCAAAGTCGACGCTCAGCCTCAGCACGAGCGGGACCCGAACCGCGAGGAGCGTGCGCCACGGGAGCTTTATTAAAGAACTCTCTCCGACTGCGCAGCTCTTTACGGGAGAGAACGTCACAGTGTCCACAGTCAGCATTCTCAAATGCTACCAGGGCATGCTCTTCTCCCAAACACTCTAAACACAAATCATGTGAGTCACCAGCCGTAATAAAGCGAGGGCATGGAGGCACA